TGAACACTGCCAAGTGACAGGGATCATTTATGTTCAACATGTCGTATATTATTTATGAATGGGTCAATAAGTTGTGCCTCCTGCAGTAATCGAACATGATGCTATCTTCCTGTGAATAAATTTCTCGCAACCCTAGCCTTGTACGCCATGTTTACTGTCATACAGCACGTGAAGTTCCAGCCAAACGATGGCATGGAAATACGACGATGAAGAAGGCACGCATATGACAAAATGGCGCTAAGACCTTAATCAGTAGTCAGATCAGAGCTTCCTTTTCGACAGCTGCATACTGCAAGTCCTATGTAGCGATAGTGGCAAGTCTCTTCTTCATACGTTTGAAAGAAAAAGCTATCAGACTCAGCTGCAATAACCTCTTGGCTGCACGGCTTTTATATCTCTTTCTAAAAGGTCTTCAGCGCCGTTTCAGCCGAGTTCTACATTCAGGTCCCATCTCACATTGGGAAGTGCTGAATCGGTTGTGTAACAAAGTTAGCTGTTGATAGTCACGCATCGCTTTGAAGTCGCATCTTCCCTATTAACGGGAAAGGCTGACCGACTAATATATCGATCCCTTCGTGCCTTCATGCCCGTCCATGTAAATCAGACTCTCCTTGAAAAGGGAGTGAAGGTCATAAAGCTGAACTCCGTATGGACCTACTTTAAACAGCCACAACCACGTAAGAGAGACTCAACCCTTTATCTGTGTCGCAGAGAAATTGAAGAGAACAACAACGGCAACAGAGCCATACGGAAACGGCTTCTCGTATCGGGGTGAACCTCGTTGGCTGGACCGGGGCGATAATTCCTGTCTACTAGACGCTGCTTCGTCTTGCTGTGCATTATGCACTGACTAACTTGCTGTTGCGCTCATAGGTTCTTGCTTTTGAACTTTCACAGCTACATGGAATTGACGTTAACTTCGAAGTAGGCTGCTCGAATCAGCGAACTAACCGAAATAACCTTCGCAGGTTAGGTCAGCAAAAACACAATGCAATGGGTTCCTATGTGGGTACTCCCTTACAACGGCCACTTAGTGAAACTACACTCTCGAATCTATGCCTCTGCTAACGCCATATATTAGCCCCTACGTCTGAATCGTACAAACTACTTGTTGAGACGTCTCTTTGTCTGTTCACACGGTCACGATAAGCCCATCGGAAATCCCACATGTGCGAACGTAGCAATGCCTTGCCAGTCTCTAAAGGGACATTTTACAAAGAGAAAATGCCGCATTGCGCGTTCTTGCCATTCTCGAGCGAGGCGATTACCTGACAGATTTGCCCACTAAAGCTTCTGCCGCTACGTGAACACTTAGTTGCATATATGTACCATTTCGACACTGCGTATTGTAATTCTAAGGTCGAGAATATGTTGTAGAAACAAACATAGCTAATCTCAGAAAAATTGTTTTCAGCTAGCGGTAAACGCCGTATTGCAAAACCTCATTGGGTATCAACTTTTTTTTATCTTCACTACTTTATAATCTAGCTGTCACCTCGTAATTCCCTCGTGTGCCCCGTAGCGGTCCCAGTTATCATAACATCATAGGAAGATACACTGTTACAAACACTGTAAGACGTCTTTACAAGCTGAAATTTAAATATCTATTCAATATGGACACACACCTAGCTATCCTTTAAAACGCTAATACTGCTTAACGAGTGACCTAAAAGTAACTAGCTACAATAAGAAATCAGACAATTATTATTAGCCTCCTAAACGTACCTCGCCTACCTTAAATATTTTATCTTATATTTATATAAAGATATTGCCTTTTTGTTTTTTTTTCTCTCTGTAAACCGCTTTTAGCCAGCCTCCCCATCACTATCTTGCTTACGATCAGAACTATCGAATCCGTCAAACACGTATTGAGGTTTGAACTAGAGAGAGGAAAAGTAACTTACTGATATTTATAGGAGTTCGCGGAAGTCGATTACGAACTCTATCAGATTGAGGCAATAACGGACAGGACTTGAAAAGGATCTGACCGGTTCAGCGGATATGTAGTAATGCCCTATACGGTTAGTGATTTCCATCGTCGCCTTTGTACAGTTCATCGTCTTGTTGAATATTGTACCTTATGTAGGCAATATTGCAACAGATATTGTTATTTACGCTGCCCAAAAGTTCAATCGCTGGCCAGTCTGGTTCAATAACAAACTAAAAAATCGCAGTAACTTGATGTATAATGCGATTATTATTGATAAATCCTAAATAATCCTACTTTCGATCTACTATATCCGGATCCGGTCCTAATCCGGATTTTGAAGGGATAGAATATGAAGTGCATTATGTGAAGTTTGTTAGAGATTCGCGCGTTTCGAACGTTCGAATGCTACCCGATTAATGGGGACAAACGAGTTCGAACGATTGATAGTACTTACTGAGAATTCAAGCGATACATTTTTCAAGCGGTATCAAGTAGGTAACAGTAATAGTATTAATAATATGTTTTTCAAAGGTTTTCGATTAAAAAACAGCCCCTGTGACGATAGCAGAAAAACTTCGATAATTTGTTGCTATACTGCCATAGTTCAGTCTCACCGAACATCTCAATATTCAGTTTTGAATCACAATCAAATATTCACCGTCGTCGTTTCATGATCCGCCGTTACCGTATCGCTCAACCTGCCATTGCTATAGAACCAACCTAAATGTAGCTCATATAACTTAACCGATAGCTTTTTTCAATCACTATTACTTTCATCATCCGATTCATTGTTTACCTTGCGTCTATAGTAGCTATAATTTAAAAAAAACTGGTTAAATTTTCAGAGCTACAAATAGCTTTCGCGCGCCCTCCCCCCCCCTCTCTCTCTCTCTCTCTCTCTCTCTCTCTCTCTCTCTTTGTGACAGGTATGTGATCCGTCACCATTGATTAGCACTGTGAGAAAAACCTGTTCTTTGTAGAACAAATTCGTAATAGAAAATTATGCGTAGTTTTTGAAATTTGAGAAAAATATGGGCTGTTGCCCAGGCTTTGTCCACAAAGATGGGAAGCTTTTTTCTTATCCGAAACACAGTTATGAGTGGTTTTCAAATTGAAGCTGTAATCGTGGTGAATAATGAATTGAATAAGGATAACTGTCAAGAACGACATCCTTAACACATGTAAATATTTGCTTAAAATGTCTGTTTTTATTTCGGTACAGCCTTAGAAACAAAGCATTAAAAAAGTCCTTATATAGACGCCGTATATACATGCATATATGTCGCCTAAATTCGGGTTGACCTACATTTGTGAACCGTCGTTGAAATTTAAAATGATACCTGTGATATAAAATTATCATATGCACCCATGGAAATAGGTTCATACAGCATAGATCTTGCTAATACCCAGTTTCAGGATTTTTGTTCGATTGTGTGTGCATCGCTAAGAATCTACTCTGATATAAATGTTTTGATAGCACAAACAAACACTTCTATGTAGATGATTTTGTATGGGATCACTTCTCGTTCTTATGTAGACGTCAATATAATATACGTCTCATTTTATCGATTTTACGTCTTACGATTATGATACGTCTCATATTAATGAGTCTCACTCATTAATTTTACTGCGCGGTTGGGTAACGATTGAAAAGTAACTATTATTGTACCATACGACACTTAGTAAGCTGAATGGGACAAAGATATTGCTGAATTTATTTAGTATCTTTTTTGCAAATTGGCTGTTATTTGTAAATCACTGCGAAATAATCCCATGCTTGAAATGTTTTAAAAAATATGACATAGTTCTCTCGTGAAAACAATTTTTTTTTTTAGTGGTTGCATTAAATGTTGTTGGCTTATACAGCTTCGCATATTATCCTGATAGAAAATCTGTGGACTCATAGCTATCGGAAATGTCAGCTAGATCTGACATAACTTGAATTCAAGAGACACGAATGTCGCCACATAACTATAGTTTCTAAATCGGAACTTGTGCACAAAATAACATCGAGACGTAAATAGTTCTCGTAAGAAACTTCAATTCTAACTTAATTCAAGTCTCCATTTTGGAAGTCCTTGCGGATCCCTTATAGGAAAGTAACTTTTTCCTGCAAGAACTCACTAACAGCAACAAAGTTGTAGAGCGCGGAAGCACGCGAAAATACATGCTGCCCTGATATATTATTTTTCTTTTTATTCTTAATTGCTCGATCGACATTTCCATTTGCGTACGCTTCGTCTTTGTATTAAAACTTCTATAGACAATATACAAGTAATGACGATTTGGAATTGAGAAATAGCTCTGAGTCAAGCTGTCCGAACACGTTCTGTAGAAAGCCTTTTGACAGAACAAACGTCCTCGGCATTTTGCTGTCCTGGGTTAGAGTGAATTGCATTTCAGAAGGGTGACAGGCAACAACGTTCAGCCCCACTAGCTCTATTGACACATAGTTTTGCCTATTAGTGCCAGAGGCGAAATATGCAAACTACGTAAACAGTTTGAATATGGCGCGCCTGCAGTCATTACTGTATTTTTTGTTTTGTAGAGGCAATATACCGTTAATCAAATATGAATGTGTAACTCTTGGTTTTCTTTTGGTGATGCATGAGAATTTTCCCCCCCCCCCCCCCCCCGTCGTCGTCGTCGTCGTCGTCGTCGTAATTCAACATCGTTTTGCAACAGTATTCGGCGCCTATAGAAATCAAAGATGGTGTTGGAGGCATTTAGAGGTGTAACGCAGCGCGTAAATAGGCTGCTTTCCCCCACCGGTTCAGATGTCGGCATCATCGATGAGCGGCAATAACAAGTTTTCATAATTCGTTGATAGAAAAAACAGTAGATTGTTTTCCAGTCTATTCCAAACGACGCATTTAGTAGTGCGGACTAAATATGCACCGGTGCTAGCATTCTACGGAATGTTCGTTCATCGTATTTACCAACCATAGCAAAGTGTTTTTCGACAGATAAACAGACAGCCAGCCAGCCAGCCAGTCAGTCAGCCAGCCACGTAATAACAGTAACAACATATATATAATACGATGTTCATAGAATTTAGTAATTGATTCATATAGCTTATCATATCATGCTTCGGTGGCATACGATGCCAAATCATGCGTACATTGTATATCGCTCATATAAATCGGCTACGTGAATCGACCCGAGAAAGCAAAAGTAAGTAACTTTATATTTTAAATATAGCTTACAGACGAAAATCATTTACTGCTCTCGTAATGAATCGCCATGGAAAAATATGAATTTGCAGAAACACGTTTAGGAGAACGTCTTTGTTTGCTCATAAGCCTATTTCTCAAGGCGACGACAAAACGGTATAGATAATTCAGGGTTCGTCGCGGTCATGCTTTTGTTACCGTCTGAGATAAAGCGCACGGAGAGCAAAGCCTACCTACTCTATGAGAGTTAAGCGAAACGTTTTTTGGGTAAATGTAGAAAACCAGCAGAACTGTCAGAAGTGGAATAGGCATGTAAATAACTAAACATGTTATACTCAGCGTATCTCGAATTGCACACTTGACATTATGTTGAAACTACCATCAACAACAAGTCAGCCGTCCTTTTAGTCCGCAACTGCTGCAAAGAAACATTCACACAGCAAAGACAAACACCTTAGGAATTGCTTAGGAACATAGGTTGTTGTTGTTGTTGTTGTTGTGGCAATGTTAAACCTGACAAAAGGTTAATTTATCGATTGCGGTTTTTTATGAACAGAAAAGCTGAAGAAGATAGTCAAGCCACTAATTTACTTTATACAAGTCCGAGTCAATGTCAATAACGGATGTAACAGGCGCAAGCGAAAGCGTACTAGCTTGGCCATTGTGCGAAACAGCTGAGGCCCGCTGAGATCTTTCCATTGAGGAGTATTCATTCTCTTTCTCGAACAGACAAACACATGAAGAGACGTCCCCCTCCGCCACACGTACATACATACACACCGACACATAATCGCGTAGTGACTCGTGAATGTGGCCGATGTTACATTGTGACAAAACACAATAACGACAGTATGGCCAGTGATGCCAACGTTTTCTACGCATAGTTTACCAAGACGATTACGGTTTTGATGCAGCGGGCAGATGTAAGGCCAGGGGGCATCATTGTCATGTGTAGTATTGTTTCTAGCAGAGTTCTACCTTAACAGCAGAGTAATACCACACGCTGTACCCCAAAACTCCTACAGCTGGCCATTACTGGTGCTTCTGCTTCAAAGGAACAGCTACCATAAATTTTGATTACTTTATTCGATTTACAGGAAAGAAGGAGACGACACACGAAGCATTCGCCAAACTAACGGGTAAAAAAATAAAAGGATGTTCGGCGAAAGAAGTTTTGAGTGAGCGAATGGGCGAGATGGGATGCGGTATCCAGGCGCAGCACTCGAGCTGATGGTTCCACTAGAGAAACGCAAAAGGAGGAGAAAATGAAAAGCAGGAGATAGCGTAGTATCGTGACGAAGGAGACGCAGCGTAAGAAGAAGACATTATGAAGCGAAGTGAGCTTAAACTCAAGCGGCGTTGGGCTGCCCACAAATAAGAGGGAACGACAAAAGGCTAAACATCTGTACGCAAACATTGCACAATACTCTGCTGACTCTTCTACTGGTAGTAGGGCTTACGATCGCACGCTGAATGGTAACCAAAAGAACATGCGACTGCAGACTTTCCACGATTTGAACAATTAGACTCATAAGAGGACCAGACCTGAAATTCTTTGCAGCGGAGGTTGTGTAGCGGCTAATCGCTTCTAGAGGATGCAAGTTATTGCAGTTACTACTGAAATCTCTGAACAAAAAAATCTGCGTAAGCAACATGAATGTTTTTTAACTGCGTTGCAGTCGGGTGGGAAATAATGTCCCCGTACGTATTTAGATCAATGGTTGCTAACTGACCTATTTAAAGGGGCTTAAAAATATTTAGTAGATATGAGTAAGAATGCGCACAAAGTCTCAAACAAGTCACGTACGCTTGTTCTGGAACGCTGGGGGCTCTGGAACTATAAAAAGCTCAAGGGGAAAGCAGAAAGATCCTTGAAATGTTGGCCGGCAGGTCTGGTCCAGTCGCGCAAAAAAAGCGTTTCTGCTTCGATGACAGACTTTCCGAATTCGCCTTCTAGGTATAGTTCGCTGTGATGTATTGCAGGTCAATGAATCGTTGCAAGCGCGGTAGCGTAAATGTATGTGAATTTGGTTACCATTCTCGAATCAGACTGTTACTTGTTAATAGTAAGAGTGTGATATCATTAGGGTAACACTTTACAGTACAGACGTTGGTTCAGGTCATATTTAGGCCTATACAATTTAGTTACTGTAATAGATCAAATCTTGTTTGTCAATCAATGACTAAATACACGCGTATGGCTATGCAGAGCTCCTTTCAGCCGGCCAACTAAGCCAGTATATATAAGTCTCTATGTTTCTATGAGCTTTATGTCCGGTATTGCCGTTAGGCATGCCCTAAGGCTAACCAACACGTTGATAAAAATTTTACTTGAACCGTTTGTGGAAAACAATTGTGTATCGCTATTTGAACTTTCGAAAGACGCTCCATAATTGAAGCTTGTTGATATGAAACGCCAAAATAATACTAATACAATTAGTCATGCAAAGGTCATTGGTGCAGAATCAACTTCGGTGTGATATTCGAAAGTTCATTTTTTGCGTACGAAGATTATAAATAGGTTGATGAGATCCAGGTGGCAGTAAATCTATTATATGGGTACCTTATGCTTTATGTCTTATATACATATATATACAGAAATATCTATTTAATGTTCTTTCGACAAGGTAGGTAATTTTATGACATCATGAAGGTAGGTGATACGTACCTGCTCTCATTATTGATTAACTGCTGTTTCTTTCTGTATTACTTTTACAATAATGCCCAGTTTCAAGGGTGGCTCATCACATGCGTTTCTGTGAAGCATGTGATTTGCTTTACGAAATCGTTTGACTCCTGTATACGCCCATCAGCCTCTATGAGCAAGTGATGCATTAACTCGAACGATAAGAATACTGATAAGAAAAATCAATGAAATAGAAATACTTGTACCGAGCGTTAGAAACAGTTAGTCTGGGTTGTATAGTAGGTCACGCCACCATCTCTTTTTATACTATTAGAGCACATAAAGACCACTGTTGTCAAATATAAAAAAAAAAAAAGGCACTATTTGTATTAATCGTTATAAATCAGTAGGACAATGAATAGCAAACTATGATCTACGACTCTAATATAATACATGTCTTTATTGACACAATTGTGCAGTATCGTAGGATTTCGTATATGAATAGGTATAAGATGTATTCTTATGTCTTCTATAGAGATATGCCCATCGTAGACGTTTACCTCATTTTCTCATGTTGTTTTTATTGCGTTGAACTTGTTTAAATTCTCGAAGCTGATGCCTGAGGAGAACCTTAGTATAGCGAAATAGCCCTTTATTGACCATTAAGTTGAACGTTTTTGCTTAAATATTATTTTAATTGTTTAGCTACTTGGGAATATCCTGTACGTAGGCCTTGTGATGGATGCCGTCGATTAACCCAGCGATATAGTCTCACTGGCCATATAAATAGGCAGCGACTCACAGCCACGGCTCTGAGTCGCTGCCTATTCCAATTATATAGGTACCATAATGTGCATTGGCTATAATAGTCGTCGCCTTGTGGCATTTTTGTTCTCCAAGCAACTAGGGATATATTCAATTGTCGGAAACCACACTAAACTTTCCAGACGCAATGCCAGTTCTGTGCTATAGCCTGCATCCAGGGAGACGGATTTTTTCATAGTTGCCTTCAAAATAGTGAGACACAGTTTCTTACTACGGGTCAATTTAGTTCTAGATATGAGTCGACTTATATCATTTCGGAACGTAACTTAAAAACTCTGTACATACTAACGATATTTCTATGATGCCGGAAGTTAAAAGACCTTCTTGAACCGACTCAGACAGTGAATCTGTCAAGAGAATGCATTACAGTGCCTTAGAGGCCCTAACTAAATCTAGTATGTTTTTATGAGCTTTCGTACGCGTAGAGCAAAGGAAAAGTTTTCCGCCAGTGTTCCAAACTTGGAAATAACAATTGAAAACAAGTAATCGTATCATCGAGGTTTGCCATAGTACTCAATAATAATAATACACTGATTTTTTAAGCGTTTAACAGACTGTTTTCGAGGCTTTCTTAGATAAACTAAACGTGGACCTGAGTAGAGGATAAAAGAGCAGCTCTTCAATTAAGCACAATAGCAATTTCACTTGTGAACACATAAAATCAAAGCATGAAGCATGTCATGCCGCGTCGCCTCGCAGTATATATATAAAGATATCTGCTTGACGGGAAGACAGTGGGGTTGGTGTCGGACTTAACGCTGAAGGAGACAGTCGACCAGAAGCAACATCCGTCAGAGCGAAAGAAGTAAGGTAAACAAAGTTTTCTTAACGCTGCTCATCCACCGATCGTTCCCATGAAAAAAACACACCACGGTTTCGATAAATGTTATCGACTAAAATGTACGACCTTTCTAAATAATATTGAAGAGTCATTTTCGCGAAAAGGTTTATTGCAAATTTATCTTGCTGTCGTTCGTAATACTCATGGCGAATTTTGCAAAAAATAACAAATAAGCAAAAATCAGTCAAGCAGTCGTAGGCACACGAGCTTACGGCGTTCCCCAACAGTAGAAGATACATACGGCGAGCCATGTTCAGCCCCATTTCGTACGTCTCGTAGGTTGACTAGAAAATAACGCACAGGAAATGGAAACTATGGAATTTCGAGAAGGCGGACAGTCGGCAAATGCTGACATACATCGACCGAATGGAGAGGCAATGGAACACGTCAAAAGACGTATATATACTTAGGCGTATTACGCATAGAGGAGAGGGCTAGAAAAGCCTCGCGATAGGCATCCTCGATGAAAGAGTCATAACGGCTCTAGCTGAGAACTGCTCTCGCTTCGCTTCGTTCAAATGGAAGTCATACCCATACCTTTTTACGAAATTTAGCTGTACTAGACAAAACTTCCACCTTGCATCTCCACACTGAGTTAAACCCGCCTTCCTGAAATGAACCATGAAGCCTCGTCCGACCACGAAAAACTGATCGGTGCACCTATTAAGAGGCACACCGCTTAATGTCGAGATATCTCGTTAACAATACTCGTTGCCGGAGAAACCCGTGTACCTTTCGCTAATTAGAAGTTAAGAAAACAAAATTCCTAGCCTTGGTTGTGAATTTTATAATTCAAAGTCAATGAATATTTCCGAACAAAAATAAGTGTCTGGAACAAGACGATATATACTCATCAGGCATGCATTTCATGCCTTCCTGCACCATGCACGTAAGATTGACGCTTAGCACCTCACTCTAGCGGCACGAATTTTTGAACCACTCTTGCTCCCCCCTCCCCCCATATGATGCCAAAAACTGTGATACGACGATATCACTGACAGTACAAACAACAATTTAAAGACCAAGAAAACGTATTATTTCGACGTTACATACGTATGTTTAAGCGTATAGTCAATAGTTTTGCCCAGCTTGTTGTGGAAATAAACGTTTAATATTTTTATATAGGTCTCTTAACCGCTGGCACTGTGCTCCCTACAGAGTGTGTAACAAGATCCTAGCTTACTTTTTGTGCAAACCGTATCGAGAAATTGGCAGAGTGCACTATATTTTGTGCGATTTATGGCAACCTGTTCATGCAATTTACCTTATTGCAGCCGTTTAAATTTCTCTTTAATCTAAATATTCCAATAACCTTTCTATTTAAATAAATTTTTGATAAGATCGTTCCGAACAGTCACAGTATAGGTGTTTATCTATATCGTCGAATTCTTATGTTACGTATTGCTTAAGATGGCGATCGTTGGTGACATATTCCTTTAGAACATTCGCAGATATATATTTTTATAGCTCGCTTGTGGATGGACTTCTACAACAAAAGTGATGAGCACACTTTAAATTTGCATAGCACATTAAAGTCAAGCTCGTGTGTGTGTGGTACGAATTGGCGACATCTTGCTCCCAGTCCCTTTTCAGTCGATTGAGTCCATAAATAGTATGAACCAACTTTCGATCCAGGAGCTACCAAGAAAGTTAGAGAGCAAAGTAGAAAAATGATGATTAAAGAGGCAAGCGATTCAAGTGGTGTCTCAATAGCGTCCAAACAATTCAAATCTAAATATCCAAAAACGTTAATCCTTGGTTCAATGTCATATTTGAGATAGTTACGTAGCATCTGCAACATCTAAATTAACCCATCAAGAAAATATTTTCCTAATGCGTGATTACATG